CAACCTTGTTGTGATTTGGTGCTATATAAATAAACTGAATTGAATTGTCTAATCTACATATGTATGTGTATTTTATCTCACTCAGCCCTATAAGCTGAACCCCTCACTCACTGCTCTTTGAATTGAGAAAGCTCCTCGGATGAGGAGCGAAACGTCTTCTGTTACAAATAAAGTCCAGTTGTTTTTGTATTGAACGTTTTTTGAAATCATCATGTCCTGGATGACTGAGAATCTTCACCAGCATTACACTAAATAATTAATAATCACATTCATGTTAAAAAGTTCAGACTTTAAGCATGCTCTAGTCTTATAAATAAGTTCCTCCTTAAAAGGCTACTGAACTAGTTCATTAAAATAAGATGGTGATTATAATCTTGACATCTGAAAATAAGATGTTGAGATGATTAAAATAAGATTAAAATAATTATCCATGATGCTGAGTTCATGCTGCAGACAAATACATAAGTTATGTACAAATTGTGGTATTAGACTGAAATGGAAAAAAAAAACATGAATACAAATAAAAAACACGATTCCATAATAACAGATTCAGAGAGTAGTAGAATAAACACCGTCTTGCCTGTATAAAATAAATAATTATACTAAATGTTCTGATCAGTTAATTACTTTTTTAGGTCAAGGTCAAGGTGTCTTTATTGTCATTTACATCACATGTGGTACATGAGGTGGAATGAAACTATGTACACTGTCCCAGTTAAATCCAACAAAAGTACAAATTGTAAAGAAAAACGGTGATAAGAGCCAAGACATGAACTAATATGCTAAATTAATAATACACTAAGCACTAATAGTACAAAACAATGTGCCAACAACAGCAGCACAAACAAAAGTGAGCAAATGGGGCCTAATGAACACAGCAGCATGAATAAATATTTTAATCTTATTTTAATCATCTCAACATCTTCTGTTCAAGATGTCTTATTTATCTTATCTTATTTTCAGATGTCAAGATTATAATCAAAATCTTATTTTAATGAACTACTTCAGTAGCCTTTTAAAGAGGAGCTTGTAGTGTGTCAAGGTCAGCTTGGCTGTACCTTCACTACAATATAATTTAAATAACGGGTTCTCTCTTTTTCGAGCTAATTACAGCCATGTGACAGAAGTAACTGTGCATAGATGGTTTAATCAGTGACATGAGACGTTAATTTTCTTTGACCCATCAAAATAAATGTGGTCGTTTATTGAACAGAATCAAAATTTAACATCAAAACATTGTACACTTGATTAGTTGATCTGGTTCTGATTAATAAAACTTGGCATGTTTTACTTAATAAAAACAACAGACATTTCTGAAGGCATCTGGATTAATTACTGGCAAGATAGAAGAGTTTAAAGATGGGAAAAATGGAGGAGTTTAAAGGGAGATGTTTGAAGGAAGATGTATGTCTGTGGACCAGAACAGCATGCTCCTTTCAAACGCAGCTCGCCCTCGGTCCACTTAGTGCGTGAAGCTCGTGACGACTCTTTACCTTGGCAGAGGATGGGTCCGCTATGGTCAAGAGGTCCCTGGCACACTACTACCTTTCAGCGTCTCCTCAGGGCGGCTGCGACTCGGCAGAAGTCGTGAGATACTCCGTTCAACAGAACAAACTTCCTCAGAAGTTGTAGGGCATTCGCCATGTGAAGTCACAGCGAGGCGCCGTGGCTCCTGCAGAGATGGATGGCTCCATCAGACTGGAAAACTGAGTCCGAAGTTCCACTCAGCAGTGGAAAACCTCCACCGGATTCCAGGAAGACTTCAGACGACTCCAGAACTCTCCAGAACTCTCCAGAACTCCACTCCAGAACTGAATAGTTCCAGGAAGTGTCGACTTTTAAAGAGTTCTCACTTCCGGTCACTTTTAGTACTTCCTGATTGGTTGAAGCAACTAACAGGGGTGGTTCTAGTGATGTCAGAGGGTCATTATAAGTCAAGAAAACAGCAGGAATGTTTTGAGAACGGTTAGTTACAGACGAGAAAATATTTTGGAGAAATGACAGACTTACAGGTGCCAGTTTTCTTATTTACTGTCTGAGAGTTTTGAAAACATGACACTTCGTTCCAATAACTTCCCTCTGACTTTCGACCGACATCACTACTTCTCATTTAGACAGAAGATCAAAAATGCATAATTACTTTGTAAAATAGACACCCTAACTTGATTTTCAATTTAAATGAGCATTAAAAAATCATTAATACTGTTTCACAGTTGATTCAAAATGAGTGGCCCACCCCAACATCCAGAAATGGCATGAACTAGACACACTTTCGATCCACCAAGACACTG